GTGTCCAGAGAAGGGCAACGAAGCTGGTGAAGGGTCTGGAGAACAAGTCTTATGAGGAGCGGCTGAGGGAACTGGGACTGTTTAGCCTGGAGAAGAGGAGGCTGAGGGGAGACCTCATCGCGCTCTACAACTACCTGAAAGGAGGTTGTAATGAGGTGGGTGTCCGTCTTCTCCTGAGTAACAAGTGATAGGACAAGAGGAAACAGCCTCAATTTGTGCCAGGGGAGGTTTAGATTGGATATTAGGAAAAATTTCTTCCCCGAAAGGGTTGTCAAGCATTGGAACAGGCTGCCCAGGGAAGTGGTGGAGTCACCATCCCTGGAAGTAGTTAAAAGATGTGTAGATGTGGTGCTTAGGGACATGGTTTAGTGGTGGACTTGGCAGTGCTAGGTTAAGTTGGACCTGATGATCCTAAAGTTCTTTTCCAACGTAAATGATTCTATGATTCTATATAAGCATCCCCTCACTTAACTTTCCATACAGCGTCACAGATTAGGTTTGTCTGAGGACAGATCAGAGATGTACAAGGCACAGGACCTAATTTGCCAAGCTGCTTTTTAAAGTTTTTTAAATTGCCTAAATCTCATGTGCTTTTATTTCCAGGCACATTCAAAGTGGTTTGCAGGACTTTTGATCACTTTGTTGGTGGGATGAAACATCTCTACGAGGTCAGCAGCTGCCGTAATACCACCCGAGTCCAGCAGCAGCATGGAGCCATGAGGCTCTACTACATCGCTGCAGAGGAGGTGGAGTGGGACTATGCCTCAAATAAGAGCTCGGCACCAAACATTTACAACGTCAGCAGCAATGAGGAAAGGTACCCAAAGCAAAATACGCTTGTGGGCATGGGGCACACTCATAGTGGAGGGGAAACTTTGAAGCATCCTTTCATGAAGCCAGGCTTGTACTTTTTAGGAGGCACTCTTTGCTGAACAAAATAAGAGAAAACGTATTTATAAAGTGACAACCTCTCAGACTAGACTAGTTCATAGGAAGCATTTTCAAATGTTTTTCTCTCAGAGTGTCTTGTAATGCTGTTGAACCCAAGAAGGCTTCCAAGTCCCTAAATCCATGTGTGTGTTCCAGCCCTGGCTCGACCCTACAGTGATGCCCCCCAGCCCCCTCCTCTCCCTTCCTCACTCTCCCCAGTCTCCCCATCCCAGTGCTCTGGTTTTCATAGAGAAGAAACCCAGGTACCTGTCCCAGACGTGAGCTCCTGTAGGCAGTGCAGATGCATTAGGGAGGTGCTGAGCCTGCTTTACTGCAGCGTTTGTAGCCCCTGGCTCCCCTGGAAAAGTCAGAACGCAGTAACCACTCCAAGTAAATCATGTCTACATGTGCTAAGGAATAAAAAGCGTGTGCAAAAGATACACGTTCCAGATCATGTTGCATAGGGAGGTCTCCAAGACCACTTTGGTGAAAACAAAAAGGAGCAAGGAACATATTTCAAAAACAAAACTTAGAAAAGTGGCTGGGAAACTGCACCTTGTAAAGACAAAGAGTACAGCGGAGTCGGTAGAAAATATACATGAAGAGTCACAGGTGATGAAACGTGTTTAAAGAAAATATTAACTCCAGTATTGTCAAAGGCTGCTGTTGCACACGCAGTATATTACTACAGTAAGCAGTATTCCTGGGGCATTTTTTACTTTTATTTAGTATGTTGTGAGCCAACCTCACAACTCCGCTGCCAGCGGCACCTTGGAGATGAGCTGCCAGGAGACAGAGCTGCTCTCAGAAGAGGGTGAACGCTCTCCTCCGCAGCTGGTGGCGGGTGTCCTCTGCCGGCGAGTCAGCCCACAGGAGCAGCAACAACAAACTGTGGGTGACTGCACAAACCTGGAGGGCACAAAAAAGCATCCTCTGCCAGGTGCAGAAGGGAAAATATATTTCTCACTTTATCTTCATGCTGGGAAAGCATCCAGCCCTGCGCAGTACACAGCAGCAGGAGGGCGGGGTAAAGCAGCCCCTCTTATCTCATATGATGGCATTTGCTTTTGCAGGGTTAGGCTTCAGTTATCATCTTCCTGTGGCTGACTTATAGCCAGGATAGTGAAAGCAGCCATTGTGATAAGAGGATTCAGGTTTGCAGGGACAGGCAGTATCTTTTATGGGAGCGGAGGATGCAGCTGGAGAGAGTGGCCAAACCCACTCTTAGCTTGAACTTCATCTCTGCTCTGACAGCTCTGGTGAAGGATTTGTGTTCCCAAAATTTTGTAGTGAGTGCAACATATCCTCAGCTTTACCTGTTTGAAGAGGGTGTACATTTAATCAGGATTATCACTGTTGTTATTTGCTGTTTAAAATCTCTTGCAGCATGCAGGGCTTCACGTCAATCAGCACATTGGACCAAACCGTGTATTCTTATCACATTTATTGTGAATAACACAACAGTTACTAGCCTTTAGATATGTAAGGTTTAGTGCTTTTAATTTTTGCCTTTTTATTTTGCAGCTATGGGCATGTTTTCCTGAGCCAAGCGGAAGATCTGATTGGTTCAAAATACAAGAAGGTGGTTTACAGGGAGTACACAAACGGCAACTTCACGCAGCGCAAAGCGAGGACAGAGGAGGAGGAACATTTGGAAATCCTGGGCAAGTAGCTCTCATGGCTCACAGACTGAGCCTGATAAGTGAGAGGATTGCTTTCCAAAAACAAAGAGTTTTTCCAGCTTTGTTAACATGAAAAACAAGGAACACTGATGCCTATTCCAGGTTATCAGTGATTTTACACCCAATTTGTATAATTGCTGAGTGTAAAGATGCTTTCCAAATTAGAGAATTCATTCTCAAACATGAATAAGGAGTTTCCTAAGGAGTACTAACAGGGAGGATACCAAAATGGCAATTCCAGAATTTACCTTAACATCAGAGCACATACTGTGAGGGAGACTCTTGTAGGTAGATTAAGCCAATATTAAGGGGCTGGATTTGTATCTGAAATTGGGCAAGACAAAATTTTACGCATGTCAAAATAACCATCAGCTCATGTTTTTCATGGGGTAAGAAGTGGGCAACAACTGGTCATGAAGTAGTCAACACATTCTAGGAATATTTTCCTTTTTTGCAGTACAAAAGTAAAAAAATAGTTTAAAAAAAAAAAGCTGTTACCAGTTTAAGAAATAAAATTTTGAAAGATACAAAACCATCCACAAGAGTTTTCCTTAAAAACAAGCTGTCCAAAGACCTGTCTCCAGAGTGAACAATTCTTCTCATTGCCTGAAAAGAAAAAAGATTATTTATATATATGGAGCTTTTCATCAGCTGAGATAACAAACAGAATTTGATGGGTTTGCTGAAAAAATAGAAAAGCCCAAGGGTTTTGAGAAAGACCTTGGCTCCTCTCCTACGCCGAGCTATGGAAAGTTTGTTAAATTCAGAAAAGCAGCATTAATCATCGGCATCTTCTGTATTTATTTAGGGCCATTACTCCACGCCGAGGTTGGTGACTCTGTACTGATCGTATTTAAGAACAAAGCCAGCAGGCCTTATTCGATAAGCGCACATGGTATAGAAGAAGTGGGTTGTGAAGAACAACCTGAGACACCAATTACCCTCCCCGGTAAGACTCGCTCTTTTTTTTTTTTTTTTGAGCTACAAAGGCTGTATATAAAAGCATTTTAACACATGAATGCTAATCCCTCTTTCAAGCTTACGCATACCTGTATGTTCTTCCAGGCATAATATGCTCAACATTTATTCAGATACAATTCTGTGTTGTTATACATGTAGGTTCTTGATCAAATGAGCATGTTCGGGCAGGGAATGAACCTTTGATCCTATCAGGGGTAGAAAGAGGAATGTAGTATCACTGGACAACCTCCAAAAAAAGCACAAGCAGGCCCATAATTATGGAAAGAGAAGTGTAAGCCAGCGCTGCATTTGCTCCAGACTGACCCTCTTACAACATTTTAAACACTGAGAAACTCATTGGTGGAGTTGGCATGTTAACTCTGCCTCTCTCTTAATCTACACAGAATTGGCATTTGCATTCAGAGCTGATGCATAACATGCAAAATGTCACTGTCACATGATTTAAAAGTCTTTGAAGAAGTGTACCAAATATGCCTCGGTTTCTAGTGAGGAAAATAGTTGAAAATAGTTCTCACAGCACTGAGATTTTTCATGTAGAAAAATACCTGTTAAAATCTTTGTACTTCAATTTTTATCTTGGGTTTATATTTTAGTAGGAAGCCAAACTCAAATGCAGGCATTATAGTCAATCCAAAATGTACATACCTTTTCTTTCCATCACCCATGCAATTTTTTTCACGGTATTTGTGAGTGTCAGTGTGAAACTAAATGAAAAGAAATTCTGATGTACTAAACCTCCCTCGAAGCTGAAATCTCTTTCCTGTAGGTAGCTGCATCGATACAGTACAATCACACATAAATTCATGTGGCCAAATGTGAGCCAGCATCTGCCTTGCTGGAGTTAGATGAATGAATACCTGTGGTTAATATATGAGAAAAAAAAAAAAAAAAAGGAGCTGATTTAAATGATTCCCTTGTTTTGTTATTTGCACCATGATGTTGTCGATGCTGTTTTGTTGACCGTTGAGGTGTAACACTGGGAACACTACTGTCATGTCTCCTGTGTCCACATGGGAGCAGGCTTGTGATGAATTAGATGAGGGAAGGTGTCTGCGTTTGACAGTAAGCCAAAGGAGAGGACTCTTCAGCAAGATCTAAGGACAGACTTTTCCTTAGGAGTTTGGAAGCAGCATGGAAAACAAGTCCCTCAAAACAAGAATAATTCCTGGGTACTTCAGTCCCCGCCATCATCTCGAAATCCTTGTTGTCTGTCTTCCTAGGCCATGCTGACTGCTCACCCCAAGCTCCCCAGAGCCCATCTAGTTCTACTAAATCCTGAACCAGTCATCAATCATAAACCAGATTTATGTCCTGCTAAATTGTACTCCCGAGAGCACTGCCAGCTCCTAAAGAGACTGTGGGTGGCATGATAAAGAGATGCAGATCCATAGCGGCCTAAGCCAAAAAAGCTTTCAGCTGCCACAGCTTTGTCCTCTCCCTGTCCATTCCTCCATTTACCCAGCAGGAAAAAGGGAGAAAACATCCATTTTCCTCTTGTTTATTAGTCTTCTCAGGGGTTATGCTTCATTTGCACTTCAAAGATATGTCTTTGATGTCATCTGAAGTGTCTCAGGTTTTAAGCAGAGTGGAGATTTTTTCCATCTACAGCCTCCAAATGTCCTGAAGTGAGGAGTAAAAAGCAAGGAAGTGGTGAAGGACCATGGCCAGGCTGTCTTCTCACATCATGCCCTCTAAAAAGGGGTGATGATACGTAGGTTAGATCCAGGTGGATGACAAACTCTTCCCTGGTGTATGTCTCCATGGCATGAATACCTCTAAGGCTAAGGGGTTTCTTGTTCATGTTTTCTGTCCTATTAGTGTAGTTGTGCCTTGAAAGCCTTTCTGATCTCTGCTGAAGTGCGTAAACCCACACTGTAATGAACAGAAGGTGCTTGTCCTGTAAGATTAAATGATATTGCAACATTTAAGTGAGACTCATCTCATATAGTATGATATTGGAGAGTCACAATTTCTTTTTTTGTAGTTATTGCCGTACAATAAAACCCAGCTGTTGGGTTGTGGCTGTACTAAGACCATAGCCAAGAGTTTTGTGATTTCCTTGTTTTCCCCTGACTTGTAGCGTGTCCCCAGCTGTTCTTGGCTTTTGTCACCCTGGAAGACTTTTGGCCCAGAGCTGATACACTGCTGCAGCACCGTCTGCAAAATCCCAGGGGCAACTGCCACATCTCTGTGCCCTGTTCAACTGAGAAACTCCAGGAAATATTTTCTGGAGCTTGGCTCCTGACACCTTCAGCTGATCTTAAGCATTGTCATCCAAGATCATTGATCTGCTACAAGTTTTGCCCACGGAGAAAGATGAAAAGTCCTATCTCCAAACTTCCCTCTGGGGGATGCCACTGTTGCCAGCATCATCTGCAGACCTCCTTTTCTGGGGGCTATCTGCCTTCATTTACACCACTGGAACCTCACTGACCTCCTGGAAGGCAGAATCATGGCCACATTCCATTGCTGCATGTTTTTACAGATAGTTTTGATACAGATCATTTTTTGATGAGGAGGGTAGCAGATCTCAGTTACATACTATTCAAAGCCTCTAATACCCAGCTGCTCTTGGTAAAATTGTTCTCTCTGTTTCAGGGGAAATAAACACCTACAGGTGGAACGTCCCAGAACGATCTGGCCCTGGTAAAACAGATCCAAACTGTATCACTTGGGTTTATTATTCAACAGTGAATTTTGTAAAGGTAACCAAGAAATGGTCATTAAATATTCCATTGCTCTGGATAAAGCATCCTGCCTTGCATAATGTTTCTGAAAGGATCCTGCTTCTCATTTATGCAAGGACCCCAGGCTAGAGGAACGACTTACAGAGCTAAATGCTTTGTCGTCTTTGATAACAGTTGCACATGCCTGGGTAATTTAATCTACTGAAATCCCCAGGGACACACCATGGTAATGTGATTCCCTCCTTAAAGAATAGTTGAAGGGATTTTGGGTGAGGGCAAAACATTGCTTTGGTACATTAACATAGGGACATGCAGAGAAAGATATCTCTAATCAGTCATGATTTGTTCTCATCTGATAGGAAAGTGGAATTTCATCTTTGTTTAATCTGTAGTTAATCTGTATCTATTTCATAACTGAATGAACTAGAAAATTTGTAATGCATATATTTATTTTATTTCAGGACACATACAGCGGTCTGATTGGGCCTCTTGTAGTTTGCAGAAAAGGAATTCTAGATGAAAGAGGTCTAAGGAAAGACATTGATCGTGAATTTACCCTTCTGTTTATGGTGTTCGATGAAAATGAATCCTGGTATTTGAAAGAAAATATTGAAACATACCTTCATAAGAATCCTGATGATTTTAATTCCACTGAGAACTTTGTAGAAGGCAACAGCATGCACGGTATGTAGGACTTGGTGGCAGCAGCTAAGAGGACAGAGGTTTATTTTTCACAGCCCTTTTAGGAAGACATTGGACTTGGCCTGCAATTACCCAATCATGTGACAACTTCATAGCTGCAACTCTGGAAACAAAAAGATTTCATGAGGCCCAGCCAACATATTTTTCTAACAAGATAGTTTAATCTTATACTCATGGGAAGAGGCTGCCCTGCCAGACTTCCCTTGTCATTTGGGAGCTGCGTTCCTTGCAGGCTTGCTTGGTAGGAGCGTAAGGATGACATTTTAAAATCATGGCTGTAGTAGCAGCCAGCCCAGGAGCCAGGCAGAACAGAGTGGACAGGGGCAGGAACAGCCCTGACAAAGCAAACTTCTCTTTCTATAGATGATACCTATTTTAGGCAACAACTCTATTCCCTCTTTTTGCATGTAGCTTCTCAGCATAAATCCTGTTTGTTCAGGTTTTCAACCAGTAAAAAACCTACCTGATGCTTTTCAAGACAGAAAAATGGTTGCTGCTGTGCAGTTAGATAATTTGGAAACTGAAACAAAAATGTGACTGTCTCCCTGCAATGGCAGAAGTCATTATGGAGGACCCTTGCCCAAGCCACACATGCCTGTCCCCTCTCTGCCGGGCACCTGGTCTCTCTGGAGAGAAAGTGCAAAAGGTGCCTAAAGTGGAGATTATCAACACCCATACCATGGCCAGTTATTAATCAGTCCTATTTTGTCATTCTTCCAGCAATCAATGGGAAGATTTATAACAGTCTTCTGGGTCTAACGATGAATGAAGGTGATAGGACAAACTGGTATTTGATAGGAATGGGCAATGAAGTGGATATACATACAGTTCACTTCCATGCACAGACCTTCATCTTTAAGGTTGGTAAAATTAATCAAATTAAAACCGTTATAGTGTGATGGGAAATTTCTTCAAAAAAGTCTGGGTTCTAGCCTGGTTTTGCAGCTTGGGCACAGAGCCCTGGCCTGATGCTGAGGTCAGTGGGAGTTTCGCATGTGAAGGAAATACAGAATGAATGAGATCCTTGCAAAGCTTCTACCACTCTGAACCTGTTATGAAACGTGAATAAATGTTACTATTAAAGGAAATTATTAGGTGGGTAAAAATCTATACTTACACATAGGTATAAGGGAAGATACAGGGAGGAAATCAGAGAATTATGCCTGCTTACAGTATGGTTTTATGCTGTGATAGCTTGAAACTGGCAGGACTATCAGAAAAATCTATCTTTCAAAGAAACACCCATGCTCAACCAGCACTTGAAGTCCTCAGGAGGGGTGTCCTGTTGTTAATTAATTAATTGATTAAATGAGGGGTGTCCCCAGACCTCAGTTTCCCTGGATAAGGCATACTAGAAACATATAACAAGAAGCATTTGATCTGCCTTGAGGAGCTGAAAGTCTAACTGGAATATTGAGGAAAGACTCTTACAATGCTGGTTTTGTCTTGCCACAGACAGATAAGGACCACAGAGGAGACGTGTATGACCTTTTTCCTGGGACTTTCCAGACAGTTGAACTCGTAGCAGAAAACCCTGGAACGTGGCTTCTGCACTGCCACGTAGCCGATCACATCCATGCTGGCATGGAGACGACCTACACCATCAATAAATCAGGTGCTGTATCAGAAACATGTCCTAGGACTCGGAGGTGGTATTGCAGCAGATCGGGTGGAAGGCAGGGAGGAAAGGAAGAGAGGTAATGTCAGCGCTGCACCTTGCACATTGGTGGGAAGCACCTGTAAATTACTGCCATGGCCAGTTAGCATTGTCTAGGGAAAGGACAAACACCCCTAATGACATGGCAAGGACAGTAATCTTCGCTGCATTCTGCAACTTAAAAACAATTGGTGCTTCATAAGAGCCCCTCTAAGACAGTGGCAGCCTGTGGACCACTAGTCACCCGCAAGTGGTGCAGAAAACAAACGCAAAGCTATTTTTCAGCCTTGCTGCCACGTGGTGTGTGGGATGGTCTGCAGACTGGCATGGTGCTGGTTCCTCCCCGCAATCGCTGCTGGCTCACGGGGCTATTTGAGCTCCTTCCTCCACAGGCAGAGACCAGCTTATATAGATACAAGATGCTCCAGAAAAAAATGATTGTTCATCCTGTCCAAGAAAGAAGTGATCCTTTGGCTAAGAAAAGTTGGCAAACTTTTTGGGTGGTGCTGGTCCCTTCCACCACTTGTAAGTAAAGCCAGAAGTGCTTTGTGAGCCTCTCCACATCACATAATTTCACTAAACATCTGGATCCGGCGCCTCCTGCCTGGGTCCCCGCTGTGCTTGCTACACTCCTCCGCAGGGGCTGCAACAGCACCAGCAGGCACACCTTGTAACAGCAGGATGACAAATGTAATGCCAAACATAGCCAAAATACTCCTTCCTTGGACAAGGTGAATTTATTTTATACTACATATTCGCTCGGGCTGTGAAACTTCAATGAACAAGCAAATATAGAGCTGAATCATAGAATCATAGAATGGTTTGAGTTGGAAGGGACCTTTAAAGATCATTTAGTCCAACCCTCCTGCTGTGAGCAGGGACACCTTCTACTAGATGAAGTTGCCCAAAGCCCCATCCAACCTGGCCTTGAACACTTCCAATGATGGGGCATCAACAACTGCTCTAGACAACCCGTGTCAGCGTCTCACCACCCTCATCATAAAAAATTTCTTCCTTATGTCCAATCTAAATCTACCCTCTTTCAGTTTAAAACTGTTATCCCTTGTCCTATCACTACAGTAAGTAGTGAAGTAACAAAGATGCCTGCAGAGAACGGGGAACATTGCCCACAGAGCTGCCCAGAGCAATAGCTGTGCTCATCTAATCATGATTTCTGTTCAGATCAACAAGGTAGAAGGAATTAAATAAAATCAAGGCTACTTTTCCAGAAGACAAAAAAGTGTTTTCAACTTAACTATTGGTTTGTCTCTCTCCTCACAGAGTGGGAAGCTCCTTCAGAAGGAGGACTCACAACTGGAGCATACGATACAACTGCTGCAAACAATAGGACCACTGCAAAGGGTGAGGATTTCTTAAAATGTCGTTTAAAACGCTTCAGATTAATGCATAGATTTCTCATGAACTACTTCTCTTTTAACAGATTATGACAGCAAAGGAGGCAATTTTTTTGGCAAAACTTTGAGTCCTGGAGAAGCCAGCCTGATACTCGCAGCCTTTTTTTTCATTGAACTTGTTCTGCTGTCAACAGTATTAACCTGCTTCTGCCTCGTCACCCGCCAAGGAAGCAGGATCCATTACATGGCTCTGCATGACAAAAGTGCACTTCTAACAGAGTCCCTGTAAATCCCCACTTTTAGCATCATTCACAGAGCTGCCTGGATTTCATGACATGCTGCTAATAAAACTGGAGCAAGACATATGCTGAGAGTCCTACCCCGTAGCCAGCGATCACAAGAGTGAAGATGAGCTGTAGGGTTCAGCTCCGAGAGCCACATACCACCCGTCACCGTTTCCGCTCCTCTGGAGTTCAGCTGAACTTTGCCCAAGACCAAATTTGGCAGACGAGCAGAGCAGCACACCTCTCGGCATCCACACCGGCTGCAAAGGATTTATTCACGGGAGTAAGGAACGGGCAGCATGGCATCCATGCACTCTGTGCAGAAACATGGGGTTCACACTAGGGAATAAATACCACCAGGGACTATTTTAAGCGTGCTGGCTTCTGAAGGAGCAGGTGTCAATGTGGAAGTCCCTGTGGTTTCCCAAAGTCTGGCTCAATGAATTCACCGACATTTAAGCGATTCTCCTGTTTTTGCCCTGTTAAATGAGGAAACTGTGCACTGGGGACAGATTTTTAAAGGCATTTAGGGACCTGCCAATATATTTTAGCACCTGATGGAGTTCAGCTGTGCCCCTGCTGTTAGTTTCTAATAGCTTTTGTTAATCCCTTTAAAAATCTAGCCCTGAGCAACCTCCGAGAAAGTTAGTTGACTTTGTAATTGCTGCTCGTTGTGGTCTGATTCTGTACCTCTTCTTTGCACCGATTAGCACCTCACTCCCTAACTGTAACGAAACCATCAGGAGGCTGATCCCTGTGCTCTGTGAGGAAGACAGGCAGAATCAGGCCATGCTTAGTGATACTTGAATGTTTATAGCTCATTTTTAATTAGATAGTGCTCATTCTTGCCTGCTCACGTCAGTTACAGCTCTTGCAGAGGAACACCAGAACAAACACGCCTGTGAAGCTGTTTATCCAAATTTGATTTTGAATGTAAATTCAAGTTGCTGGTTGGTTTTTTTTTTAATTTTTTTCCAGTTCTGTATTTTGAAGTATGTTCAAATGTAGGGAACTTTACTGCTCATCACTCTTATTGTAGGTTAATGGTGTCCTGGATTGATGTCCAGTTAACCAATATGTTGAAGTTTTTTGGATGTTTCTCAGTTATTTCTTGATTCCTTGTTTTCCCCAGTCATTTTAGAGCACACACGTGAGGTAGAACTGCAGGACTGAGCCCAAACAGGAGTTACACTATAGCAATAAATATTTCCAGACTCCTTCTCTAAATCTTCCCTTTGAGCTGACAAAAACAGATGCTCTAAGCCCTTTCATCTTTCTGTTTTGTACACATTAAAATTGAGGTCTCCTGTTCTGTGCAAAACCCCTATCTGTCTGTGCAGAACATTTGCTCTCTGTATACATACAAAATCAAAGCCTTTCACCTAAACATACACTGTTAATAAAGGAAATTATTTGGTACTTTCCTTTTAGAGTAGCTAATGCATCTGACTTTTTAGAAACAGAATCATAAATATCTTTTGACCATAGAAGCTAGCCAGCCAAAGTGATGGCAATGATAATAAAAATCTGTTTATTTGTATGAACCTTCTGGCACAGTTCATTTCATCTGGCATGCTTCTCAGCTGGATGGCGGCTGTGAAACAAGAACAAAAGCTCCAAAGGTCCTCAGGGCCTCAGGACGTCGCCACTGCTTGCCCAGGTGACACAGCCTGCCATGGAGAGCGTGAAACATCACAGAAAGTGTAAAGCATTGCATTTAACATTGCCTGCCTGGCGCAGGCAGCCCCCTGGCCAGCCATGCCCCAACACCTGTGCTGAAGGACAGCATCTGTGTTGGGCTGAAGGACCAGGGGAACAGAGAGCAAAGCAACAGAATGAACAAAGGAAGAAAATGAACAAGTCACCAGGACAGGTGTGTTCTCCAGAGAGCGCTACAGGCCCTCGAGGATGAAGAATCTGGACTACGAACTTGGGTAGCAGTTGGTACCTGTCCTAGCACAAAAAGCTCGAAAGGTGACAAATGCAAGATCAATCTTTACAAACTTTTCAGAGGAATAAGCAGCTCTGACACACACACAAGGCAAGCTGGGTGAAACTGTTAAAAAAAAAAAAAAAGAGAAAAGTGTCCAAAGGAACAAAACAGATCATGGAAGAATCGAGGCTTTTTGTTTTCTTAAAGAAAATTGTGCCTCAGAGAGGTTTTTGAAGGACTCAACATGTAGATAAGAGGCCTGGATGAATATAGCCTGTTTACATTTCCGTAGGACATTTCAGAAGGTCCTTAGTTAAAGCTTCTTAAAGAAATGAAATCATCATGGGATGAGAGGAAAGGTCCACGGAGGTTAAATAACTGGTCAAAAGACAGAAATAAGTGGCCAGAATTCATGTTGAAAGTCACTCATGGACCTGCAAGGACCCTTGCTCTTCACTATTTTCTATAAGTGGTGTGAAAAAGGGTGACCAAGCTGAGTGACAATCATAAGTACGTGTAGCATGAAAAATGAGGGATAAAAAGATAAAATTCAGTAGTGATACATTTACAGTAGTACTTGTGGGGAAAAAAGCAATCCTAACCCTATGTGCATCATACTGTCTAAGTATCTCAAAAATGGGATCTTATTTGTAATAGTTTAATGACAACGTTAGCTCAAGTACTCTTTAGTGGACAGAAAGGCAACTGAATATTAGGAATCAGTAAGAATTAAGAACAGAGCAACCAGATAACAACTTAGTACCATTATATGAATGTCTGGGGCACCTGCATCTTGAATGCAGCATGAGTCACATCCCCCGGCCCCATCCAGGAGAGGACACAGCAGCACAAGAACAGCACAGAAGAACAAGAAAAGGGAATCAGTGTTGTAGAACAGTTTCCATATGAGGAATGATTTCCCTGGATCGGGGCTTGGAAAAATAGCGAGGACAATTGAAAGCAGATAGGATAGTGGTTTTATAAAGGGAGACTCGAGTGGAGAAGGGAACTATTTGTCCCTTTTGGCAGAAGTAGTATGAGCTAGGGGAGCGCTACGTGCAAAGCACAGCACAGGAGGTGGCTCTTTACGGGGTGGACAGTCACCTCTGTAACTCCTGGTCTCAGGGGGCTGAGGATGCTCTGAGCTTACAGAGGTTCAGAAAGCAACTGGAAAAATGTAAGGGCAGAAATAAATTAAGGGTTATTAAAGGTGAAGGCACTCCACTGACTCCCACAAAAAGTGACTTGAGATGTGGCGGTGGCGACCAAACACTTTGAAATGCCACAGCACACGGTGCTAGGTAGATTAAGGGCTTGGAGCATTTGCCAGACGAAGTGGGGGGAGAGAGCTGGGGCTGTTCAGCCTGGGGAAGAGATGACTTATCCAAGAGACGGCTTTTATGCATGTGTGCCAACACCTGACGGGGGTGTAGGGCAGACGGAGCCAGGCCCTTCTCAGCGGTGCCCAGCGAGCGGACCAGAGGCCATGGGCGCAAACTGCAGAAGTCTCCATCCTTGGGGAGTCTCCACCCCACGGCGCCTGGCACGGCCCGGAGCCCCCCGCACGACCCCCCCTCCTGCTCTCCCCCACCGCCCTGCGGGGACGCCCAGCCCACACCCGGGCACG